GTCAACCACGCTTGAAGGAGCTGTAAATTGGAAAGGATCCCGCGTAGTTAATTCTGGTCTTAACTTATTAAGTGAATATGAAAAGGGCACTCTCCCATAACTAATGTCTCTTCATTCTTATCAGAAGGCCAGAATGAGAGGATCATAAATGAATCGCCGGTGATTTACTCTTAACTCGATCTTCTGAATGGTATTTCGTTCCCCATCCCCATCACATTTCTAAAACCAGCTAATCGGTATGTCCCAGTTTTATGAGGCACCTGAAAGGTGTGTTACCGTGATTTTGCTGACTCAGTTCACGTTTGTTAGACAGGGTCGTTCAGCCCGCTGAAGTTGCACTTGAGTTGGGTAACCTTTGTCCTTTAATTAAAAAGAACTAATCAGTGATAGCTTATATTTCACGAAGCTAAGCAGCACTACTTTTATCCTAAACATTTTTCTATACTCATTCATTTCATGACTCAAAAACTCCAAAACACTCTCACATCCTCTTGTATTATTTGCATTGAATTTTGTTTGTTCGTTTTAAACTGGGAGTTTTCATTAAATTAAAACATTGAAAGTAGTGATCACTGACTCACTCGCAATTCTTGATGTCTCTATGGAAGAGCTGCTTCGTTTATGGAGCAATGATGAGCTTGTCCTCATTGTTTCATGACTTGAATAGCTTGGACTTGCTAATTCATACGCGGTAGACGAATTTGATAAGCTTTCTGTAGTACTTGGTGTAACGTTGGGTATAGTGCTGTGCGACTGAGAAGGGCCTAGAATTATCAAGAAGAGAAGTACTTTGAACCTAGCCTCCAACAAAAGAATATCATTTTAGCTGAATTGATCAAAGTAACACTTGATCCAACCTTTTTAAGTCCAACGTATAAAATCAATCAAACAGATTATGCACTCAAATAAAACGCGGTCTTGTTAATAGCCGTTTTTATTGTACCAGCACGGTCTTTAATATCCGTTGAGATACAAATTAGCGTTCTCGTATGAAAAATTCTCCTCTATCAAGTGTAACAAGTGAAAATATTTTGAGCTATTTTGCTTCCGATTCGTACATAAGCTACCTAATTATAAACGTCGAACAAACACGGCATCGTTTATCGCTTATTTTAGTTTTTTGCTTCTATTTTTGCCAATTCTGTTTAGACACGAAGCAGTATCTTTTTTGTTTACGTAGAATTCCAAGTTAATTTACACTTGAAAACTGCTATCGCACGAACCGCATTCATACGATATCGGTTTTCAAGTGCAGTTTGATGCGGAATTCACGAGTCAGTTATTGAATTTTCCTTCGAATCGCATCCTTGAATCCTTGAATCTCGCATCCTGATTGGTGAACGAAGCAAGGTATTAACCGTGGAATTGCGAGTTGAAAACGGGGCTAAGTGGCATTGTATACATAACTATATATAAGTAATGTTGTTTTCTTTTCTTTTTCTTTTTCTTAGTTTTATTCGATTATGCGATACGAAGAAAACCATTACTTGGGTCGTGAATTTCTCGTTAAATTGCACTTGAAAACCGACATCGCACTCATTGCTTCGCGATTCGTGTGATATCGGTTTTCACTTGCAATTCAATGCAGAATTCCTCCGTCAAGTTACGAATTTTCCTACAGAATTCCAAGGAACTGTAAGAGGGCGGGAATCTGAGTCCCAAGAAAAGGTGAATGAAATTTGCTCATCAATAGCACAATGCACCTACAGAAAGGAAAACTTTGCAACTTACTTTCTGAGGTGGAAATATGGATTGGCGAAGAGACAACTGCAGACTTTGAACCGTAAACAGTTAAACTCGGAGTGGACTGGATGCTAGACACAGCTACATTGGCCAAAGAGAAAGAATAGTCAGTATAGATGAAAGTTCAAACGCACTTAAACACGATACTGTAATTACAATGAAAATGCAATGGACTCACAACTATGTTTTTATCTGCTTTCACATTATCACAACGTTCGAAGTCACCACGTGCTCTAACAAATGACATAATCTTTACTCCCTTATAAGGGAGTAAATCATTTTACGGTTCTGAGTTTAACTGAAAGACTGAAAACATGTCAGCCAAATCCTTCTATTCATTAGTCCTTCTTAGAGGTAAAGGTTACTAACTGATCGAGTTTCTTGCGGAAAAGGCATTCTTTCGTTTAGTAAATAGGCGTTGCCTATGATGACAGATATAATTTAATTAACACAACTCGTGATTGACATTAATTCCTCACAATGATTTAAAGTGTTAGCTTGTCGTGATTTAAACCAGTTTTTTCAGAAGAATCAGTGAGAGAGAAGTCGATTTTTTTATCTGTTCGCTTACCCGAATCTGCTAACCTGAAGTGAGAAACCTGTTTTTACGACCCGCCACAGAAGTAAGTTTCCAGTCATGTTTTCTTGAATTTTGCCATGAGATTAAGACTAAATTTACGTTTTCTGATTTCGAATTACAAATGTATTTCTCTTAGATCGAATAATCATTAAAGTTTGGATAATATTATACGGTTTGTGGTGGTCGTCTGAGCTGACCAGTTCCGAGTAAGGAAACACACG